CACACACTCACACACACACCCACACACACTCACACGCACGCACACACGCACGCACACGCACGCACACACACACACAGACACACACACAGACACACGTGTGTTCAGCGGTGTGTTATATGGTGAGTGTGTTTGCCTGCAGGAGGATCTGTCTGAGCCGTTACTGGAGGAGGATCTGGATGGAGGTTCAGGAGTGATTTTCCCCTTTTATGACGCTGACACACACATGCTGTATCTGGCTGGGAAGGTGTTGAACGTCTCAATGTGCCACTTAGATCACATCTACAAACGCAACATGCACATCTAATCTAGAGACAGACATGCATGTGTTTGCAAAAGATGTTTCATCGAGATGTCTGTTTTCTGTTGGATGATCCATGAGATGTTCAGATTACTCTCTGTCTGTGTCGCAGGGCGACGGCAACATTCGCTATTACACGGTCAGTGCAGTGAAACCCTATGCTCACTTGCTGTCTGAATACCGCTCCGCGTCCCCTCAGAGAGGCTTGGGTACTCACTCATATAGCGTGATGTTGGCGTGAGCTGCTGTGCTCAGGCTGGAGAGTCACTGCTTCATGTGTTTAGGTGTGATGCCCAAACGCGGTCTGAACACCAGCGCCTGTGAGATCTTCAGATTCTACCGGCTGGTGGCTGTCAGAGACCTGCTGGAGCCGCTGAGCTTCTGTGTGCCGCGCAAGGTGAGAGCGCGACTGAGACGATTGAGGGGGAGGAGCCCATATGTGTGGGTGGAGTCTGTGTGTGGGAGGAGTTTGTGTGTGGGAGGGGGTGTGTACGAAAAGAGCTCATATGTATGGGAGGAGCTTGTGTGGGGGATTGAGGGGCCTGTATGGGAGGAGCCAAGGTGTGGGAGGAGCCTGTATATGAGGAGTATGTATGTGGGAGGAGTCTGTGTGTGTGGACAGTGACTATATGCATGGGAGTAGCTTCTGTATAACTGTAGCTTTCCCAGGATATCAATGAGGTTGTGGTGGATTGTGATGCGTGTTTTGTTTCTGACAGCAGTCTGAGGGTTTTCATGAGGATATTTACCCCCTGACCGCAGCCAATGAGCCGGCCATGACCGCAGACGAGTGGCTGATGGGACAGAATAAAGGTGAGTCAAACTGGACTCAGATAAATGA